ACTCGGACACTAACTTCCCATCTCAACCCCACCTTTGAATTTTCCCTCCATTTTGCCATTTTTCAAATGTCGTGTAATCTAATTGATTCTCGGCGGCAAATGAAATGGCTACGGAGAACTTTAGTGAAGGTATACTTTATTTAACTTATTAAATTCACTAGTTTTCGTAGTCCGCTCGACCAATTAATATTTTTCAATTAATTAAGGTTTTTATTTGAAATAAAATGTCAGTGTCACGAGCGGGATTCGAACCCACGACCTTCGGCTAGATACGCCGCTACTCTACCACTTGAGCGGGATCCGAGAGGATCGAAGTCACGATAGCTCAAGTGGTAGAATTATATATTATAATAAAACTATAACCGAGTGTTTTCTTCCTAATTAGCTTATTCCAGGACCTGTTTTAATATATGATCTGCTTAAACAATAATGGAAAAAAAAAGTTATACTGTTTGTAAGATCAAATCAGCATCTCTATAACAAGACCTTCAGACCATGATAAACCAAACGTCCAAGTTCATCACCCCGCAGTATTCAAGATAGGTATTTTATTTTTTTCCATTTGCGCACCTATTTGTAATCTAATTTGTTATAACTTATTTGTTATGTTGTGACAGCTACTTTTCTCCAGAGAAGAACCTTTTCCAACGTGCCGAATCATAAATACGAAGCCGCATAAAAACCAAAGGGTCAAAAGTCGAGATGTGAAACGTCGATGCACCGCCGAGGGCGAAACGGACGATTTTGGCTTTGGGGCTTCTCGAGCAATCGTGCGGAACTCGAACCGAGGGACACACGCGGTAATTGTTGAGGTGATCCCCCAGTTGCAACGTGGAGGCGGGCCTATTGGCCACTTCGTAATATGCCCAGGTGTCAGTAGAGCAAGGTTCCGTTCACTACCAACGACCCGGCTCTTCGAAACAGATCACACAATTACACGAACGTTAGAAAGGCCCTCGTTCACCACTCTGTTGCAAAAGGTGTTTGATATTTTGGAAGAAATTGGAAGAAGCTTCGGAAATTAAATCGCTTACGTGGCCCAAACTCTTTCAGCCCTGGCCCGTATTAAACCAACCGCAATTATTCCAATTTTGGTGGATTCGTAACGATCCAATCTAATAAATATAGACCAACTGCAAAAACTCACACTGCATTCACTGAACATGGGATGAACTAATAACGAAATCCTTGGAATTAATTTCTGTAATTTTAGTTAACTTATTGTTTCTTATGGATCAACCAGCTTTCACTAAGATGTTGATAAGGATTCGGGTTGTCTTCAAAACATACAATGGTATTATATGATAATGCCCAAGCTTTCGACAAGTTTTATTGTCTTCTACAAGGGATCTACAGAGCATAGGACCATAGTTAAATATAAACATGTTATACAAATTCGTCATATATATATAAACTTAACTTATGAAAATCTAATTATTTTACTGGTACTTAGTCAGTTTGTTTTTGTTTGTTAATTAAAGAACTACCCACGAGAGTTACACTAACTCTATGTGTGGGCCCATTATTAATCTACCAGCTAAGCAGAAAAGTACGTGCAAGTTTAAAGGTTTAATAAGTGCCACATATAAAATTAGTTTAGAAATATTTTATTCGGGGAAATAATATCCATCAGTATCTATAACCTTGTCCCAACGAGTTGCTAGCCCAGTTATGCCCTTCTTCATCCAACGGCTTGTGGCTTGACCTGGTCTGAAGTTTGTCATACCTCACACCGTGGGAAAGTAAAGGCTCGTTATTGCTCGAGGTGGCTCGGCATTTCCGCGTATTGTCGATAAATACTCCGACAACAAAGGCTTGGGCCTCGACGGATGACAAACCTCAATAAGACTCGAGCACCCATTCCCCGTGATCTGTTTGGATTGTTGCATTTATACCGGTTTATTCTGAACTGAGTACATTTCTCATAATAGATTCACTGTACTAGCGTTGATCTTTAAATCAAAACTGATTTCATTAAAAAATTTAGGCGATGGGTGGCTAATGGCCGCTCGATATTCACCATGCAACTAGCCTTTCCGCCCCGTGGGGGACTACGATAGGCCATGACATATCACAAGTCAAGTCACACTCCGTGGGAACAGGTTTAATAAAAGTTTGGGTCCCCGGACCGAGGGAGTAGTAGGACTTCCCAATTAATCTTCATTATCACCTTCTTTGTCGTTCGGGCTGTATGAGGTCTTTCTTTGTCTGGTTATAAATGACCAAGAAATACCTATAATAAGGCACTATGTAATGACTGTCTTATTTTTTTTTTTTTCGAGTGTTCGCAACAGCAGAGGTCATATAAACCCTCAGGGTGCCGGTGTTTTCGAAAAAAAGACCATTTGTAAGTATGTCAGGTTCGAATGCAGGGTCGCTGGATTCGAACCCGGGACCTTTACCTTACAATGATGAGCGCCGTGTCAACGCGTAAACCGTTGCGGCCACCGACGGCTGTCTTATTGTATGCAGTGTCAGTGTGGACCCTCGAATTAAAATCTATAGAATGGGCGGTACTTGTGAAAGCGCAAAGGAAGGCACTGCTGGCAGTTAGCAATCGTAAAGGTCTGTGTCGACGGATGCATTGCAAGTGATTGAGGGACAACCACCAAATGACCTTCAGGCTAAGTCTCTATGTATAGCATGGGAATTAGCCAATGATCACCAACCTTGCATTCCAGTAACGTCCAGTCAAGAAGCAAGTGTTTGCATGATTGATAAATGGCAGCAGCGTTGGGACGCGTCATTGACAGGAAAACATACTTATAAACTCTTTCCCATCCCAGCTGTTAACAAGACAGTGATTTCGCTGCAAAATTACACAGTTTCAGTCTTAAATCAGACCCATTCTGCACGTGAGGCAGCATCGTGAAACAGCTGGGAAAGTGGTATTTGAGTGTAACAGACACATAGATTTAAGGATTGGATGGCTGTATGAAGTGAATGCAGAAGTTGCAAATATAGACTCCTTTGCAGTGTGATATCTAGTCGTGCCGGATTTGATGCAACGGTGAAAATGTGGAATATACGATGGTGACGAACGCAACAGGAAAGTACAAGATCCAATCAAATTATAGATCAAATTAAGAGAAAGAAAGAAAGAAGAAAGAAAAACATATAAAGCTTTTTCCTTCTCCCCCTAAAATCCCGCCTCCGCGAGGCCCATCTCGGACGCAGTGACGTACTGTCTACACGACCTTATCCTTCCGCAACATACAACCCATACCTTCGAAAGATCCTTTCTGATGCGAGCCCCTAAACTCTGGAACTCCCTTCCCCTTTCTATTCGTCACGCTGCCTCCTTTTTCTCCTTTAAATCCCACCTGTATAATCACCTCCTCTCCCTCCAAACAGAGACCTCACGTTAACATTTGTTATTTTTGTTTAATATTCTCGTAATTTTTTCTTCTGTCTTGCCTTATTAGTATACATTGTATCAAGATTTATATCTTTTTTTCCTTTTAACTTCATAGAAGGAACTTCCTTTATTTATTTCATGTAAATTATTCTTAGGGGACACCAGTCCCAGAATAAAGTTATTTTTCTTCTTCTTCTTTTTCTCCTTCTACTGTGACTAAGAGCTTGCCATGTGGAGCCAGATGCGACCATTTAATTAGCAAAAGTTTGCAAAGAACGTAGGTTCGGTCTATGAACCAAAAAGATTTATAGAAATACAAGCCAAGAAGCCACAAAGTGCCAAATATGGCTTGGCAGGAGTGGCAAAACAAAAAGGCACAGACGGTTATAAATGACCTTTTCTGTTCACGAGAGCAGGCTATTTCTGGGCCAGGGCAACAGATGCATGGCTCGAGTAGAATTCTGCGGTGATGGTCTGACTCGTGGAGGTTTTAGTGCACAATTTGGTTGGTGAATAAACGGTTTTCGGGCATTAGGCTTGACAGCCCTTGACCTCCTGTTGTTACTCTACAGGATTCATTTTTCGTCGGAGTCAATCCAGTCAAAAGTCTACTTTGTGCCGTGAGAAACATGAAAGGCAAACGTTGAAGCTTGTTACCGTCGGTCAATTTGTGAGGAACCCATTTTCTAAGCCTCCACGTCTAAGTCGATGTAGAATAGAGCTAGAAGGAATAGTTTCATAGCTTACGTTGAACACTCTGGCGTTTTAATGTTTGGCTCGAATCAAGTTAGATAGCTTCCCTCAATCGGTCGTCATTAAATATAGAAAGTCTTCCAGACCAGTTCGTTTTCAATTCCCTCATTACCAGAAGAAAAGTTCTTAAACCACTTTGGGCCAGTGCGCTCACTTATTGTTAAATCATCCAATTCGGTGTAAATTTTACCTCTCCCGCTCTAGTACCGAGCTAAAATTCATACAATAAAATACTATACTAAAATTCATACACGAACTATGTAAAAATAAATGTTGAATGACGGTATTAAAATAAAAACAAACGAAAAACCGCTCGACCATTTCTGGTTACCTTGTATATAAATTCATTAAATTCATCTTTTCATTTTTGTGCTTTTTTTCTATCACGATCCATCCTCTAAACAAGTAGAACTTTAATGTTGTAACCATTACGTTTTTATTACTTAAATATTTGGAGTAAATTTAAGACAAAGAAATAAAATTGATTATTATGGTACATGATGCTGAAACGTCGCTATACAAATAAATTTGATTTTTAACCACCAGATAACCAAATTATCTGACTTCCAAATAGCTTCTGAAAAAAAATTAATTTCTTCTTTGCTATAAAGTTGAAAAATTGAATAACAGTTCACGTTTGAAAAGTGCAAAGCTTGTCCATCATGTCCTCCCACCGTCCAGGTACATGTATTCCATTTGTGGTGTTGCAGTGAAAACTTGTTCAAATTATCAATAAAAAATAATAATAATAAAAAGTTAAGGTAGATCCTTGAAATGACTAACTTTAAGTAGAGTCAGGGTTGGTTGAAGAGTCAAGGATTAATGAATTTTAACGATTTTTTTTTCAACTTCCTAGGTGCATGGTTCAAGGGGTATCAAAAACGAAATGTTCAGAACATGAGTTTTTTTATTGTTCTTGCGCTTATCGAAGATAAATATTTTAACCAACATAAGAATTATTATGTGGTGTCAAAAGCCCTGAAACCGTTCTCGTCGGCGACGTAGTCAATTCTCACTCTGGCTCCTTCAGGACTGGTGAATCCGTAAGCTCCTGTTTTAACGTGTATCTTCTCGCCTTTCGGATCCGGGTTTGTCTTGAAAAAGCCTTGTTCCTGTCTGAATACAGAGTTGGACGCTAAGAAGCTGCAAAACAAGACAGAATGTGAGAGTGTACTGCAACCGTGAGAATTTATTAACATAGATTAAAATCACGGAGCTGGGAGATTCCACGATTTAAAGCGTAGGAGCCGTTTAAAAGCCAAAAGGTTGATATATTATTAACCAATGCCATCTATACTGTTTCGGTGTCAACGTGCATATTATACGGGATTCCAATGAAATGTAAGCATTTTAAAAGTTTCACAACTGAATCTGTTTTACAACAATTCCTATTACGTGTAGGTGGGAAAACCTTTGAAATGATATACTATTATGAATGCCATCTGGGCTTGATTTTAATAATTTTTCATATTCCTGCAAAGGGAAAAGAAACATTCATTTTTAATACGTTCATTGCGTTTGGCCTTAGCAAGAATAATTCCAGAATAGTATTTTGTTTTTGAACTGCCTAAAATGGTTACTCGTGACTGAGAAATACGAGAAAGTGATTAAAAGGATAATTCAGGACACTATTACATTTTTTACTGTAATTTACAATAAATTACTGGCAGGCCTCGGGAATCATCAACCACGGGTGTTAGCAGACAAGGTTCAGACCTCCGCCCCTGAGGCTATCAACAGCCTGGACATTTCAAACTCCAACGCAATCAGTTCCCAAATACTTTCACATTCACATTCACCCTAAAATACATTCTTTCTTAGTTACGTACCATTCACTCAGTTTGGGTGGTAGAGTACTCTATATTTCTCCAACACCCTTTATACCAATTATATAATTAATCTAATTGGGGGTTAATGAGGGACTCGACATTCCGCCATCGGCCCTCTCACATTACACATTCGCGCTAGTAAATACATTCACTTTCAACACCCATTAAGGATACAAAACTGTCATTTACCATAAACACTAAAACTGTTTTTAAATCTGTTTCATCCAGGAAACGGAGGCTCAAATACTCGCCATGATCAAGCACAATTTTCACGTCGAATGGCATTCCTACGCGTTCTCTATATGGAACTGCATTGCTATTAAATTTTATCCCATTTAATTAACATCAGCCTTCAACACTACTTTTTTTATAATAAACCACTTGAAAAGAAAATACTCATTTCCTTCGTCGAGCTTTCATCGAATAACAATGGTTTAAAATTATAATATATTTAAACAGCACATATACGTAGGTAATATCTTGGTAAATCTCAGAGGTATTATTAAAAAATTGAAAGAATTCGGCATAATGTAGTTTTCAAGTATAAAAATATTTCTATGAGAAAACTAAAGTCTAAAATACCAGAATTACACAAAAGCTGTGTATATAATTAATAAATGTATATAAAAGTGAATATTCCTATGTGTGTTAATGATAAAAACGAAAACTACTGAACCGATTTCGATGAAACTTTCACACTTTGTTTGTTTTGTTTGCATTAGTGTTGGGAGGTTTTAGATAATATAAAATGGGCATATAAATTGATGGGCGTCAAGGTTTTCAAATGAAGAGAGATTACAGGAATTTGTGGCTCCATTTTTTCATCCGTACTCTCAGCTGTCAGTTGTCCAGACAGGCCGAAGTGTATGATACATGTTCCCCGCCTCCTTCAAATTCCGAGTTGGAGACGGTGCAGTCAATAGACGCAAAACCTAAGCTAACCCTCTATAGTCACAAAAATTGTTGAATCGCTTATAACTGCAAAGCTACTAAATATAGGCGCAAAAACTACAGAATTGTCTTCGTTGATGTAAAGGTAGGAAGATACAAGCATCACCGTTGTATCTTTACTATAGTCAGCAGTGTTGTAGGTACGAACTACCGACAACCGTTCCACTAAGCCAAACCATAAAATTGCTGCTGCTGGTGGACTGCGGGAAGTGATAGTCTCAACTCTGAACATGTATGTTGATGCTCAAACATCTGCCGATTTGAGCTCATATAAATCAGCAATCAGATACTTACAGATCAGCAGTAAATTATGTCAGTCTTGTAAGTTTTTGTGTTTATATTAGTTTTGTAAGATTTTAAATGTTCAGTATTAATTGTGATGATTTTTCTGTAGTATGAATTATGTTTAATCTTACATTCTGATTTTTTGCTCTCTGTGAGAACTGCATTTTGCTGTTGTTTGAAATGCCACCAAAACGACAAAATATTGTTTGTAGAATAATATTAGTATTTTTACTAAAATTCAAAGGAGAGGATGTACTAATACACCATAAACCAATGATACCAACAGAAGTGCCTTTCCATTTCAAATTATTGCAATTTCCAATTAAACTGACTTTTGCAGTAATTATAAACAAATCACAAGGTCAATCATTGTTGTTACGTGGATTGAATTTGGAGAACCCATGGTTTTTTCATTGCATATTATACGTTGCATGCTCCAGGATGGGGGATTTGTTGTTTTTATGTATGCCAAATGGAAACACCAAAAACATTGCATATCCAAGAACATTGCAATGAATTTAACGCTGAATTCAACAGTAATTACCGTTTAATACACTGTCATCCAAAACAAAAAGAATATTGCGAGTGTAAATATCTAATATGATGACTAAATACGTACAACTAAATACGCACGTTGATATCAAACATTCAATTGTGTTCATTTAATTTATATATGCTCCTATCTTGCAATAGCAATATGTATACCCAAAATAATGTGTTCAATAATACTTTTTATTATCCCCTTTATTATAGCTATTATAAGCTAGCATAATATATAAATTTAATTGCATCTCCTGTAGTGATTTATATAGAAGCCACAGTTTTGAGTAGCATGATATAATCGCTGTGGATTGTGGCATGTTATATTGGCATATATATATACGTTTTTTTTCGTATAGCTGATTATGTTACTATTATTGACTGATTGTGTACTGATTGTTGTATTAATTTTATGGAACAATTAGAATAGGGATATGTACAGGTCAAACCAATAAATTTGCTGCCTTCTTTGGACACTCAAGAATCCCCTCCAAATAAAAGCTCAGGAAATGCAAAACATTGAAGCAAGAGGGTAGTAGCTGCCATGGGAAGAAAGCCCCACGGACAGCCCTCTGGGGAGGTTTTCAAAAGCTCGTTGTTACCATAAGGGTAGTCAATGGTCATTTGTACTTAAATTTGTATTTAAATGGTGAGTTGTAAATTCGTAAAAAGTCAGTTACAGTTTAGAGTTTAGAGTTAGTCACTGGTCAATGATGAGTTCGAACTTGGAATTTAAATGTGACAGTTTTTGGTTGCAAAGATGGAAACGAATGGGCTAGACCTTTGTTAAATTTGCATAAAGACAGCGAGCAGGATGAGATTCTGGCTTCGGCTTAAAAAACTCCTTTGTGGATTTTAACTAGTATTTTAAGCAGTTAATAATACACAGTTTTGAATTATGAAGGCCTGGATAACTTTATTATCTCCCCAATGAAGGATGAAAAAAGGAAGAAAAGCCAACCAATCCTGACGAATGGTCAACATCACGTTTTTCTCTCCTAGGTATTCGTCTCTCTCTCTATCTCTCTCTCTCTCTTTCTCTCGCACTCTTTCTCTCGCACTCGATTTGCGACATGTATGAACAGAAATGAAACATCTTGTAAAAATATAAAATACATAACAAGTTAGTTGTGTTATATATACAGTAGTATTATGTTATATATACAGTATACGTATACAGTCGAATATTATGATGTCATAATTAGTTACTTATTGTAGTTACTAACTAGTTAGATAGTTATTCTTTTAATTCCCTAATTTCGTGGTCCGCTTGACCAATTAATATATTACACTTAATTAAGGTTTTTACTTGAGATAAAAAAGTCAATGTCACGCCCGCTTCGTGACAGAGCTTCGATCCCGCTCATGACACTGACTTTTTTATCTCAACTAAAAACCATAATTAATTGAAAGATATTAAATTAGAATTAATTAAGGTTTTTAGTTGAGATAAAAAAGTCAATGGCACGAGCGGGATTCGAACCCACGACCTTCGGCTAGATACGCCGCTACTCTACCACTTGAGCTATCGTGACTTCGATCCTCTCGGATCCCGCTCAAGTGGTAGAGTAGCGGCGTGTCTAGCCAAAGGTCGTGGGTTCGAATCCCGTTCATGACACTGACATTTTATCGCAACTAAAAACCTTAATTAATTGTAGTTATTCTTTGAGTTGAATGTCATACCTATTATTGGCATGTAATAATTTTGGTTTATAGGATAAATGTAAATTGTTGCCTTTTTGTGGATTTAAATTTATAAATATTGTCCCTGCTGTTATTTTGGTAAATTATTGTAAATGTATTGGCTGTACTGCATAAGATAACCGGTTGGCCCCTTTGAACGGGTTTTGGATGATCTTTTACTTTAAATTAAACACTTATTCGCAATGCTTGAAACCGTAGTTTGGAATCGCTAAATATTAAATTCACAAGATAAATTAGTATTGAATACAGTTTCTAAGTCCTGATAAAATTAGATGTATTCATTAAAAGTGCAACAATGGGACTGAATGTTTTCTCTCCAATTGACCTATTATCCCTGATTTTTAATGTTATGATATAAAGAAATGTAATAAAATAAAATTAAATTATATTCGATAATAAAAATATCGAAAATAGCAATTGTTGCTTGATAATGGAATAATATTTTAAATGTATTACTATGTCTTTCAGTAAAGAAAAACTTACTCAAAAAAGTACCCGCCGTCTTCGTCCATCCTGCTTATGCTATAAACCAAGCCATCACCTTCTTCCTCTTCTTCTGATTGAGGTGTCGGTGGCGTCGGAGGCGGTCTTTTCTTCGTCGGTCTCGGCCTACGAGTCGTCGGTTCTTCTGTAACCGGAACGGCGTCTGTTGACAGATCTGAAGGGGTCGTTTGAAATACACATCCTTCCGTAGTGGATTCTTCCTGTTCCTGAGGCGCCGGAGGATGTGGCGGTGACGGAAACGGATGAGGTTTTCCTCCTATCTGCTGCAATCTGTTAGGCCTTCTGAAGCCAAAAGGAAGAGGAAGTGGCATAGGCGATTCTTGAATATGATGCTCTTCTGCTTTCAGGTCTGTTAAAGAAGTGTCATTTTCGCCGTGAGCCAGTTTCCACGAGAGCAGAACCAATAACAAGCTCTACAACAAAAACGTAAAAAGCTTCATATCTTAAAGTAAAATTTAATTTTGAATACTATACATCATTTTATTTTATTTTATTTTATTTACAGTCCAAACAGGTCAGGTACCCAAGCAAAGGACAGTCAAGGAACACAACAAAACGATCATTATCATACTAAAAAAGGATATAAAAATAATAGCAGTAAAAATAACAGCAAAGAAGCGCTTACACTTATAACAAAAAGTTTATATTATAAATAGATTAATAAATAACACAAGAAAAGTAATAAATAAACCCTCAATTACAGTTTAAAGCACGTTTAATTTTTTTTTTTTTTAAGATCTGAAGAGACGAGGAGAAAGGGTCCGCACTGATAGCGAATTTATTTAAGTAATGCACAGCTGTGGAAGACCGTAACCCGTATTTGGTCCTGTGCCGTGAAGTACCAAACAATTCATGGGTCCGTAGTTGACGCTGGGGAACCCTAAAGCCAATACAAGATAATATCTCCGGGGAATCAATAAAATTATTTAGGATCTTCCACAGAAACACAACGGAAGCCAAAACTCTTCTATCCTCCAGAGAATCCAGGCCTACGAGAGCAAGTCTGGCTTCATAGGAGCAATGATGGTAGTTCCTGTGATTGCATAATTTGTAATACAGGTATTTCGTGACCTTTCTCTGTACCCTTTCTATCATGTAAGACCCATCTAAAGAACTCGGCGGCCAAACAACACTGGCATACTCTAGGTGACTGCGCACCAGAGATTGATAGAGTAATTTTATTGCAAAAGGGTTCTTAAAGTCAGCAGTTTGCCTGCGTACGAATCCTAAATTTTTAAAGGATTTATTTCTAATGGCAGGATATAGTCCCGAAAATCACAATTCTTATTAAAAATAACCCCGAGATCCGAGATAGTACCTACCTCGTCAATGTGATAACCTTCGATACTATAAACGAATTGTTCGTAATCGTGAATTATTTTTTTCTTGCTGAGCTTCAAAATCTTACATTTATTTTCGTTTAATTTCAAATTATTACGCTTACACCAAAGCCAAAAGCGGCTCAAGTCATTTTGCAAGAGAATACAATCATTCAACGATTCGATAGGGCGATACATTTTCAAATCGTCTGCTAGCAATGAAAATGGATAATTAATGAGAGCAGAGTCGACGTCATTAAAAAATAAAAGGAATAAGATTGGGCCAGAATGAGAGCCCTGAGGTACACCAGATCGTACGTGGACAGGTTTCGATAATCCTTCATCAAATCTCACAACAAAAGACCTCTCAGACAAATTTTGTATAGTTTGCACAAAGTATATTGTGTTCACAAATTTGACTAGCTAAATTAAAGCTAAACAAACCTAAAACGCGTTAAACCAATCGCCAACGATGATTAACAAACAAAATCGACCAAACTTCAGACGATATTATACATATTCATAAACGAAATTTCATAAGCTTTCTAGCACTAGACTGTATGGTTTGAAGTACTTTCTAACCCTCATTTCACAAGAAACATAGGAATCTTTGTATTTTTTAATTACAAAAGAAACCTCAAAATATATTTAAGTGACCGACAGCTTTTTTGAATATTGTTCATTGAGAGCTTTTTAAATTATTTACTTATGCTGAATCAACCATCACAAACGAATAGTGTGGCAGAGTGTGGTTTTGGTGAAAAATGGTCGTTTCTCAGCACAATCGTCTTTTGAAATTTTAAGCTATCTTTCAAAACAACATTTCTTACTTATACTAGAGATTTTATGTAAACAATTTTTGATGAAATCCGTAATTGAATAACTGCGAATAAATTTGGGTAATTTTATGATTGTTGTTATATTACTAGAAAATAATGGTCCTTATACTAATTTTATGCACTTAGGAGGTCAGCAATAAATAATAGATAATTGAAGACTTCTAATTTCGACCTTTCTGCAGTAGACTGGCAAAAATAAGCATAATAAACGAATGAGAAAAAAAGATTTAATAAAAAAGAATGCTCGTGCAACACGCCAATTACCAGAAGTTGGAACATCCAATTTCAATTGGAGGACGTACAAATACCAATTCTGCTGACCAATTTTAAGTTAACGAGCTATTTGTCAAAAGAGCCTAATAGGAGTAAGTTTGGCTGAAATGTAAATATCAGGTGGTCGATTTAAGATTTACTGGATTGTTATAACTTATAACCATCTTGAACAAGATTGATCCTACAAAAGTGAAAGGGACTGCCCAATTTCTCAGCCGAAAGTGCCCCACAGTAAAAAATTTTATTTGTTCTATTTCATAACAGTATTTTTCTCCCGAGAGAAACATATATCGAAACTGTCGATATAAAGAATGCGTTTTGTCATCGCTAAATTAATGTATTGCATAAAGAACAGGAGATAACTTGTAGTCATTTGATAATTTGACTCTCTTAAGCCCAAGGACCCAAGAGGGATGCGCGTTTGTAACTTTCAAAAAGTTTTAAAAAAACCAAGGACAAAACAAAAGGAAGCTCTATGGTATAATTTCACCTTACTGGAGCAAAATTAGCCAATTTGTCAACGCTCGTCCTTTAAGAGATGAAGGTGGTTATGAAATCAAATAGCAGGAAGGCTTTGCTTTTTTGGCTGTTATCTACGATAAATTTATATCATAAATACAATCAAATTCATAATTGGACATATAACCATAAAAGAATTAATTTTAAATCATTAAATTCACTAATTTCGTGGTCCGCTTGACCAATTAATATATTACAATTAATTAAGGTTTTTAGTTGAGATAAAAAAGTCAATGGCACGAGCGGGAAATTAGTGAATTTAATGATTTAAAATGAAGTGTACTTCACTAAAGCTCTCCGTGGCCATTTCATTTGTCGTCGAGAATCCAATTACACGACATTTGAAAAATGGCAAAAAGGAGGGAACATTCAAAAGGTGCGGTTGAGATGGGAAGTTGGTGTCCGAATGGATCGAGGTCACGATAGCTCAGGTGGTAGAGCAGCGGCGTATCAAGCCGAAGATCGTGGTGTGTTTTTTTTGTTTTTTTTTTGTTTTTTTTTATTGGCCTTATGATCTTGCATATTAGCCATAGTACGAATTCTTGTGTGTTCAAATTGGGGGTTATCGGGAAAAAAGGGCCAGAGGCGACGGTGGGAATCGAACCCACGACCGCGGCGTGAGAGTCTCTCATGCTAACCACTCGGCTACCGCGGTCCCCAAAAGATCGTGGGTTCGAATCCCGCTCGTGCCATTGACTTTTTTATCTCAACTAAAAATTTTAAAGTTAAACAGACGCTTTTTCAAACTAAAGTTTCATATTATGTTTCTAAACAGCATATTACCTTGTAAGACTAATGATCAGAGTTCTATGCTCATTTAGCACCTGGGCATTCCTTCAATTCCTATCATCATTCAAAACATATTACAGTTAAACTTTTTTAAAGAAAACCTGCATGTTCCACTTAGCATGCAAAAACCTTCATGAAACAAATCGATTAACTATTATTACATTTGAGAAAACTTTTAATCCATCGATCAATGTATGGATGAATCCGTCCAGGTATCATCTGCTCATTTATATAAAAATGTATTTTTTAAACACCTTTTATTATTCAACTTTAGCGGTAACGTCGTGGGAAAACGAACACTCAAAGACCAAGTTGATTTGAAATTAGGGTTATTAACGGAATACGTCAAGGGCCCGTCTTTTAAGACCTATTTTTAATATTTGTTGGTATCAGTTCATTGCGACAAAATTGAAAAACTTTAAAATTCACCCTTTACTTCAAACATGTAAATATTTTTTAAAATATCTATTTACCTCAATGACGAGTTACAGTAAATTATTGAATTATTATTTCATTTATTTTTAGTGGTCTAATTGACCATATTAATTTTTCTTTTTATGTAAGGTCTTGGTCGAGATGAAAAAATTAGTCAGGTGACACTAATTTTGAAGAAAATTCATGTTTCACACAGCACCAATACATCACAAAAATAGCACCACACCTTTTGCTCTGAAAATGACCCGGCAAAAAAAAATTAAAAAGGTTTTTTTCTAAACTACCTCATTCCTGACCGCTCCTCACGACTTCAACAAATTACCATTTTTTAAAGAACTAATCTGTAATTGTTGCCTACAGTAAGAGAATACATTACATAGATCCGTGTGCGCGCACACACATAAATACAAAATTTATGAATAATAGTTATTTACTAGATATTTATATTTTTTGAGGCCGTTTTGATGGTTATTTTTCCGTTTGCAAGTGTCTGTATGATTTTAAAGCAACCATCTTTGTTTCAGAATATGTATCAATTTAATTCTGTTTCCCTAACATTGTACTTACAATTGTGTGTTATGTGAATTTGCTAATTTTTAAAATATTTCAAGCCTTTCTTTTCTCAACCATTCTTACATTCTTTGTTCAGTTTTTTATTTGTAGGTCATTGGGTTCATCATAAATTATTTTATTTTCCAAAACTTGCTCCATTTTTCAATTGGTGACATGTGGTTTTGTAAAAAAAAAAGGAAGCTTGTGTAGAAGTGAGTTGTTAATATGGTTTGTTAAATGTTTTTCTACCAATGGGTTTATTATATACATATATAAATTATTGTTTGTGTATTCATACAGGGTGTATCAACTTCTACACATTTAATTCGAAAACGATTAACTTTAGCAAAAAAACAATTTTGGCTAAGAATCGCGAGATGGTAACAGATTTAACAAAACTTTCTCATCTAACTCGGAAATGACACTAACTTTGCCGTTTTAAATGGGAATACCACATTTATATTGTACACTTCGTTTCTTCAGCTTATTTTATGCCACTTTTACTGAAAGGAAAATTTTGATAAGATCGACCGTTTCTGAGTTATGCCCATTTTTGAGGGGCATTGAAAAATCGAGTATGCCAATCCATCTCCAGTACAATACTGACTGTCCAAGAATTGGAACATTAAAATTAATGGTTGATCTAATAAGTCCAGTTTTAATAAATTAATTTTTAAAAATGTTATTAAAACATTGTTAAAAAAATGTCACTTTCCACATCCTTCGTTTTTATTCGAAAATCACAATCCTTTTAGCTATAAAAACTCATATTTAAGGACTTTAAAAGGTGCTTAAAACGAATCCGAATAAGATTTTTTTCTTCTTTTTTTTCACGTCTTAAGTTTTTGTAACCTTTTACATTTATAAACTTATTCATGCAATAAGTAAATAACTTTCCTAAGTAAAAAAATCGAGTGGTATATAATAAATATATATTGTTGAAATACATGCACATCAAAGGCTGAAAATATTTATTTTTTTAAATTTCATAAAATTTGTTTATTTCTCGGCTTCTAGGGCCCATTGGGAAGAAGACTCGGACATGTTGCCAATATTTTTTGACATAGTATGTCCAAAAAAAAAATTTCATTAAAATCGATGATTCCATTCCCATTGCCTTTCCTTAATACTATTATTAGTTCGATCAATATATGAAGTAACGATAGCTCAAGTGGTTAGACTAGCGGCGTATTGAGCCGAAGGGCGTGGGTTCGAATCTCGCTGGTAACACCAACCTTTTCATATCAACCAAGACTTTAGATATAAAGTATAATTAAATGAAACTATTATTAGTCTTAAGTTCTGATGAGTGAAAACATAATAAATTATGCTAAAGAATTTCCTCCAAAGTTAAAGGTTATTAACTTTTTTGTACTATACTTTTTATTGTTTACATGCATTCAGCCATTCACTATGGTGTCACTTCATGTGCATTTTAAGGAAATTAAAGAAATTTTATATTTTAGTAGAAATTATGAATGATGGAGTAGGTGTGGAGTTCAATCCTTTTTAAAAAGATGGTTCCTACTCACAGTAACCAGTCCGGATTTCGAGCCCTTCAACCTTACAACTTACTGGAGTAGGAACCATCTTTTTAAAAAGGATTTTATATTTTATGTTACTTTTATTCATATGTTAATTTTATTTATTTACTTTATGTACATTGTATTACAACCAATCTTCTCTCTATGCCTTAATTGGCTTTAGCATGAGTAATTAAAATGTCAAAATAAAGTTAGAAACTGTTTAAATTATACCACAGGTTTTTACACGTGTAAACAAACCATAAATCATTCAAGAAACGTAAATAAAAGACTTACAAATTGTTGTTTCATCGTTATTAACTGCTCAGTCACTAAAATGATTTTCGGCACATCTCGCTTTATTTATTCTATCTGCTCTTTACGACCTATCTGCATTATCAATTCCCATTTTTCCAAAGTGTAATTTAAATCCAATAAATCTCAGGTATCTTATTACTCATTAATCGTCGATAAAGGAAATGGACGCCTATTAATAATTTTTATAAAAGAGTAAAAGCATAAAATAACTTTGTTACAATTCAAGTTTAAGTGTTATTACAGTTATTTGACGTGTTTTGTGTTGAGGTAATAAGTCTGGTTATTATAAAATAATTGATTTTGGGAAATTACAGATTAAAGCCAGCAAGATATTATTAATTTAACTATTATCTCAGTTCTCAATTTAATTTAGTTTTTTTTTGTATAATGGTGCAAGTCCTAACTTTGTATTAAAAGCCGAATTGCAAAAATCCGGTGATCTAATGATTGGGCAATAATGGATGACAGATTAGGTTCGTTCACCGGCGCGGCGCGCCTTACATTATGCCAATGGTTCTCACAGTTTCATCGTCGTTGAAAAATCTGCAATAACTCGGGATTTTTTCTTCAAATTGTTCAACCATTTCCAAATTAGCAGTCTCAGACATCACGGCAGACAGCCGGTGATGGGCCAGTCGTTTCGTAAAAATAAACGACGAGGTCGACGTTTGAAAGATCGTCTGACATTTTGAATAATTACACGAAGGAAGTATTAAAATATAATTTCAAAAATTAATAAGGACCCGTTCCACATCGGGTCGATTCTCACAGTTTCGAATTATTCTATTTTATTCTGTAAGAATAGAACTGACAATTTTTAACAGAAATTATACTTGATGAACAAAAATCAAATAATAAATTCAATATAAACAATCGCGTTAAACAGATCTGATTTTCTCCACCTGCTCCATATTCTATCCATTTAAATCATTTGGTCCATGAGTGAAAAAAGGGGTATGAACATTTTAAAGTACTTGCATTGCTGTACCTACCCGATAAGTGATTATTGGAACGACTGGAGATATTAACTCATAATAGTCCGAAAGTGCTCAAATGCCCTAAGAAACTGGGATCTACAAACATCCTGACGCTAAGATGGGTCTCAGGAGGCAGGCCAAATTCCTTTTATGATTTTGTGACAAATTATAGCCTCATTAAAAAACAGAACTAGAATATTGGGTTTTTACAGAAAACACATGTGAAAACGCATGAGGCAAGCAAAGACTCGCAAAAACGACCCAATGGGCAAAATATCCTGATTAACAAAACGGAATTAAAAACTTGAACAGGTACGGAAAACGCTCCAGTAAAATGCAACTTTAAAAGATGGTACTATTAACATAGCACTAATGTCGACTATGACTAGAGAAGACAGAGACAAAGAACATATCCTATGCAACTTCTATGATAGTTAGGAAGATAGTTAGCACCTATACCCATAGCTTGAGACCTAGATGCTAAAACTCTGGGAAAAATTGTATAATGTATACTTCATTAAAGAAACAAAAGTCTGCCAGAAAAACCATTACATGAGCGCGGACACAATCGACAAAATTTTAAGTGCAGTAGTAGACGAAATCAAAATCGACTTGGGTTTACTTGGTTCTTTTAAATGGAAACTTATTAAGTTGTATAAAATTTGACGTTGATATATACCTAAATATTTAGGAGTTTGTTTAACTACTTCCTAATGTCCTAGGCAATCCCTAATGTCCAAGCACAAGGTGACATTATATATATANGTGTGTGTGTTTTATATTGTAAAATAAGACCTAGGATGAATTCAAATAAAAAGAAAACACAAAATTGCATACATTAGGACTTTGAAAGTTTAAAGGAAAATTTGGAATTTTAACAAATATGATCACATAATTTTGAATTTGAAACTTACGGTTTAAAAATATTTAAATTTAAAATAAAATTACATTCAAATTTATTCAGATCATATTGTACCAGGTAAAACATGACCAGTGCATTCTATAATAAAAATATAAACTACATTAACGATCTCAGATCGCTTTATTATACAATCCAAGACAACGGACAGTTGCGTGTATTTGTTTATTTTCCTTAATAATTAGATATGACGATTACCAGTTGACCTCAAACGTAAACACAGCATTAATAACTTGTTATTTTCCTTTATAGAGTGTTACTAGTTCTTTACACTATTTAGATTAAAAATAAAGAAAATCAGTTCAATTTCATCCTTTCCAGAGCAAACTTGTAGAGTTGCCTTTTTTATTTGGTTATCTGTGATGAAGCTATAAGTTTTAGCAAAACTTTTTTTTATTAAAACCATGGTTTTAAGTCGAGAAGATCTCGCACGGATGGATGCTTTAAGCCGACGACGGACGTAGCGTCCGTTACATAGAAAAGTCTTGGGTGTGCCGAGCTCTACTGTCTACGATGGTAGTGGGTTATAGCCACCAGAAGTCTGGATCAAAGAGAAGGTAGGTCGACCGCGTACGATGGCTAGAGTCGATCGTTTTATTGCACTTACCACACTAAGAAACCGTCATTTAACACTTCCTTATGTCAATTCGTGTCAACGTAATGTAAGGGTGAGATTAAACGCAGTCATCAGAATAGCCTAGTCTCTAGAAATCTCGTATCAGGTTCCCTACTATTGGAGAGGCATCGAGTAGAATGGTGGCTATCCGTCAGATCTCGCTTGAACTCTTGAACAATGGGGGCTGTTCACTTCACATATAAGCGCCGGTTTGGTCTGTAACAATCAGATGTCCAGGACCGTGTGTGGAGAACGCTTTGTTTCATGTGCTATGCTTGAGTCAGCCTTTTCAAAGACAGTCAGTTATGGAATGAGGTAGAATGAACATTCATTCCTGTACCAAACTGATTATCACACACAATCGATCTTCAACTGCACTAAGGTACATTGAGTAAGTTTTCTGGAAGATGTGGTCCCATTCGCTCCAATTATTGGGAGCATGTCCATATTGATGCTCGACCACAAGTTGCTCGAGTTGTCACCCAGTACTTGGAGGATATAAGGCTTACCACAATTAGCTGGTACGTTCTACACATATGAATCCTATAGGACACTTATGGGACATGATAAAGTGACGGGTTCTTCGCCTCAAACGAACGTTGAAGAATGGGATTCTGCATCGAAAGACGACATCCGGTCACTTAAGCACTCGACGCCTAGGAGACGTAAGGCTCTCCACGACGCCATAGGAAGAAATGCGCGTTATTAAGACCAAAACCACATTAGTTAAATTTAAGCCACCACTAAATGGTTTTCCGGTGTTTTGGTAAATTTTCTTTTAAACCATCATAATTAATATGTTGTATCTAGTGACCGTTAATTATTGAATATTTAAAGATCGTGAGATGCGTTCTGGTGTGATGTAAGTTTATCGCATCTCACCATCTCTAAACAATCATCGTAATTAAATAATTTTTATAAAAACTCATGAATTTCCGATCTCGTTTAATTTGGTTTACATTAAAATAAGTATGTTTTAATTAATATAAAGATAAAAATGTAAACAATTTGAAATAAACAGCAAAATACAAGTGGCAGATCAACCGTGCTTGGCTGGTTTATCGTGATTTTCCTCCCCAGGATTTCCAACTAGTTTTTGATATTTTGTCCCGTATATGTTACATAAGAAGGATCTTTTTTATACCAATAACTACTACCATGGTCGAAGGTTGTAACCTCTTTTCAAACACGAAGGCCAGGGTTCGTGTGTCATTTCTGCAATTATACCAGCAAAATTATCCTGAATCTTTAATGTGAGAATCTTTAAAAAACACCTCTGCACACACTTTGAAGTTGGCGAACTTGTTCATGCATTTAAGGGTCAGCCAGATTGATGCATACATTAATATTAATCAGCAGTGAATGTGCGAGAAAAACATTAAAAAATCGACGAGGATGATCAGAGACGAACATCCAACTTTGTTATCATCTCATAATAAACCTATTTGTTATCTATTTATGATTATAACTTCACTACGCTGAAATGGAAAAATCAATAGATCGTCAATAACATAATATTGGGGGCGTCGGTGGCCGCAACGGTTTAGGCGTTGACACGGCGCTCGTCACTGTAAGGTAAAGGTCCCGGGTTCGAATCCAGCGGCCCTGCATTCGATATACAAATAGGCTCTTTTTTTTAAAAACACCGGCACCCCGAGGTTGATATATCCTCTGCTGTTGCGAACCCTCGTTAAAAAAAAAAAGAAATTGGCCGTATTAATTATTCCAATTAATTATTCTTGGGGGCGTCGGTGGCTGCAGCGGTTTAGGCGTTGACACTGCGCTCATCAATGTAAGGTAAAGATCCCGGGTTCGAAACCAGCGACCCTGCATTCGAACCCGACATACTTACAAATGGCCTTTTTTTTTTCAAAAACACCGGCACCCCGAGGATTTATATAACCTCTGCTGTTGCGAACCCTCGTAAAATAAAAAAATAAAAACAATATTATGCTATACTGATAATTTTTTTCACCGTCTAAGATGAAAAATTTTAGTGATATTTTTGTGCAGGACAAAATTGCACTGATTGCTTATGTATTGTATAAATAATTAGCTAAACTAAGTTATTCTTGTAGGTTTCATAAAATTATATAAGTTTTTTTTAAACATGAAGGGAAATGCCGCTTATGTTCACTGAATCTCATAATATTTTTTTAACGTTTCAATTTTTTTTAAATCTAGAATTTCTTCGAAAAAATACTGATTGAACTTAGTGTTTTATGCTGATGCTCAAATTTATGTTTAATTAATTTTTTATGTGAATTTTAACATGTTTTAGTGAGACTAATGGATCAGGAGAAGGAGAAACAATCATCCTATTAGGAGAATGGGAAATAAACAAATTATATGAGGGATAAATAAGATAAATGTATATAATTATAGCCCAAGATGTTATATTATCAGGAGACTATCCGAAGAAAAGACACCATAATGTTTGAATGCTGGTCGAGGAGCCGGTGCGGGCGAAGGTCCGACTGGAGGAGCCAGCAAAGCACCGTCAGGAGGCGAGAATGTCCCAGGCTTCGCAGGTCGGGTTGGAGATGAAAAGGAGAAGGATTCAGCATCTGGAGGAAGCCCGTTCTGCTTGGCTGGAACGAAGACGACGTAAAGGTCGTGCCTGACAGGAGCGGACCTGCGTTGCATTTCCTTTTCAACAGTGCTTCCACCGGCTGCTGAAGAAAATCCTCCGGACAAGACTCCCGGCAAAGGGCAAAGCTGAAACACATTTTAAAACACGTATGATTCGGTGAAAGTAGCGATTTTGCACATCGCTTCTGACCCTGAGTTTATTTTAGACAATTGGCTATTTTTTAACCGTCAATAGTCAAAAATGTCTAGCCTTTAAAAGCTGAACTATTGTCAACTGTTACTTATAATAGTAGACTAAAAAGGTTTTATCATATATAAGTCTAAAAACCTTATAAACTTTAATACTTTACTATAATACATATACTATACTATAAACGTTAATTTCTAAGAATTACTTTAATTATGATGATTTTCTTTACATATTTAGTTAAAATAGTTATACAAATTTATTATCATTAATAAAACTGTAAATGATACATGTTTATTCAAACAAAAAATAGATATAAAAATAGATTATTCACATTTAAGGTTCAATTTGACTTGATTTTTCAATAAAGAAATACGAATGGATTTGAATACTTCTTACCATAAATATTAATATATTCATTTTTAACATTTTCCAAACTAAAGAATCTGTGCGGAATCAAAGCCATTTATACGTCCCTTAATCAATAAGATCGTTAGGGAACCCAGGGTCATCACTCGTTCACCGTTAACAGACAATATGATAAATAAATACCTTTTTAGTTTGGTTGTTGGGTTTTCTCGGTTTTCATGTCGCTCTGGCGTTTGACGACGTCGTAATACCATTGCAAAAATTGCTGGTTGAGTTTTAACGGTTGGAATTCAGTGGAATCGTCGGACAGGGCGTACCATTCTACTTCGGTGGTTGTGTCCGAATGGTTTTCTTTAGCGAAGACGGTTTTGTTGGCGTCTGCATCCGGCTGGGGGTGAGTTGAGTTGTGGCAATGAACGACAGCAAACAATACCNAAAAAAGCTGTTTGATCATAAGTCACTACATTTGTTTTTTATTTTTTTATCATATTAAATATTAAAGGATAATTCGAAACAAAAAGAACTCCAATCTTAACTTGTTGTTTATTCATTAGACTTTTTATCTAAGGTCTTGGTTTAGGTGAAAAAGTTAGTGTCACGATTGGGATTCGAACCCACGACCTTCGAAGTACAATTATTAAAAATAATATGTACGGTAAAATAGGACTACTAAAAACATATATGGTTTATTCATTATATATATTTATATAATTAGTTGTTAATGTTTTTTTTTTTAGTTTTCACATTATGGTACATAATATATCTAACTTTCGAGGCTGAAATGACCAAGCTGTCGGTTGCCCCTGTCAATATATATATTTATCATCACATTTCTTTTATTAATTCATTTGGTTAAGAATGAATGGATTCGTTCCACATAGCAACAAATAAAGAACAAAATTACTGGTTAACTGTGGACACCAATAAGTATACCTTAGCATATGAAATTAAATTTGTTTTTCAATTTTTTTTATTTTTTATTGTCCTTATTATTATTTTATGTTCAAATACTTAAGAATGAATTTATACGTTTAATGATTGAATTGAATCATTATTCATCAGGTTGCTATTCAACAATCCCTAACGCATCGAGTCATAATTATAAAAAAATTCCAACACAAAACAAAAACCTCTTTGTCATACTTTACTATGTATATTATCATATTATATTTTTGAATTCAATGAGTTAAGAGTTGATGAATTTATCACATATTAGGAAGCTTTATACCGCAAAACTTTTAATCTTAACACGAAAATACATTTTTTCATTATTTTCAACTTAGTAAAATTACATTTGGTTAATGTCGAACAGATTTGTGGCAAATAGCAACAGCAAATAATATACTAAATGATTAATGTAAATAATCTTGCATTATTTATTTTTCTAGTTCATTGAGTTAAGAGTGGATTGACTAAAGGTAAACAGCAACAGCGAATAAAGTAATAAAGTTCTTGAATCTGAACTTATTAAATTCCTATTAAAAGAGCCCACTCAAAATGAAAAAGCTCTTTGATCAAAGTCACTACATTTGTTTTTGATTTTTNTGGATTGACTAAAGGTAAACAGCAACAGCGAATAAAGTAATAAAGTTCTTGAATCTGAACTTATTAAATTCCTATTAAAAGAGCCCACTCAAAATGAAAAAGCTCTTTGATCAAAGTCACTACATTTGTTTTTGATTTTTTTAATCATATTAAATATTAAACATTCAATTAATTAAGGTTTTAAGTTGAGATAAAAAAGTCAGTGTCACGAGCGGGATTCGAACCCACGACCCCCTCGGGCATTAACTTCCCATCTCAACCTCTCCTTTTGAATTTTCCCTCCTTTTTGCCAATTTTGGGGTCGAGTATGAAGTATACTTCACTAAAGCTTTCCGTGGCCAGTTTATTTGTCGCCGAGAATCGAATAGATTACACGACATTTGAAAAATGGCAACAAGGAGGAAAAATTCAAAGGTTGGGTTGAGACGGGAAGTTGGTATCCGAGGGGATCGAAGTCAAGATAGCTCAAGTGGTAGAGTTGCGGCGTATCAAGCAGAAGGTCGAGGGTTCGAATCCCGCTCGTGACACTGAATTTTTTTATCTCAACTTAAAACCTTCATTAATTGAATGATATTAATTGGTCAAGCGGACCACGAAAAATAGGGAATTAAATATTAAATGATAATTCGAAACAAAAAGAACTCCAATTTCAACTTATTGCTTAATCATTAGACTTTTTATCTAAGGTCTTGGTTTAGGTGAAAAAGTTAGTGTCACGAGTGGGATTAGAACCCACAACCTTCGAAGTACAATCAATAAAAATAATTTTTACGGTAAAATATGACTATTAAATACATATATGGTTTATTTATATAAATATTTATATATTTAGTCGTAAATAGGTTTTTTTAGTTATCACATTACGTTACATAATATATCTAACGTCATCTATATCTTCTGCCTGATAAGGACTAGAATTGATTAGCAGTCTGGCTTTTTTGCTCTTACAGTGGGTAGTAACTAGTTTCTTTCGTGAAATAAATAATATTTCCGATAATAATATTTTTAAAGCATAAAAGTAATAAATGTTATTTAAGCAACATGAAATCATGGAGGATAACGATTTCCTACCATTAGATACAAAAGTTGTCTATGAGTATTTGTTTATTTGGTTCTAAGATTTTTAAGTCGTAAACTTTCATACTTAACTTCATATAATCATTGTTAAATATACCAATGCATATGAATTGAAATTTTCCCAAATTATCCAAAATTATATTTCACCTGAAAGATTAAAACATACCATCAGCATATTGTCAGAAGTGTTGAACCTCATCTCGCTCCTCAACTAATTGGAAGACTAGATCTAACTAAATGCGTGTTGAGTAATACGTAAAAAATAAAACACGAAGATAAGATAAAATAATTCACTCTTCATTGCTGACTTTTATTGGCTGACGTAAGGAATAAATAACAAAATATCAATCAATCGAATCAAAAATCAACTATTTATTGTCGAAAATTGGATCTCTGTAACCGGGAAAGCCAGGCCGGTAGTATTGATTGGCAAATCCTCCTCCATAAACTCCAGGGAAAGGCCTGTTGTAATAGTTATAAGGAGGCCGGTAATAACTGAAACAAGCAAATTAATTTGTATAAATAATCATTTGTATAGGATAATGTGCGTATATTTTATTTTTATGTATTTATATTGGGGGGTTGGATGTGAACCTCTCAAGGCACTATAGCCTGTACCACACTTTTAACAATTACCTAGTTCCATTTTGGGGGCTTGCTCCACTGAAGAAACCCATTTTCGAAAATCAGTCACGAATTCTCGGTGCTGAGATTCCATCCTCCTAGGACCTTTTATTGATGATGCCGTGTCAGATGTTTATCGTTGCGGCCATCGATCCCCTTATGGGTCAGAAAATCAGTGGGGACGGTGGGAATGGAACCCACGATCGCGGGATCTACTGCCGAGAAATGCCTTAACCATTTGTCTTTCGCGGTACTCAATTCTTACATATATTTTCTATTTTTTATGATTAATGGAAAAAAATAAAAGTTGATTTTTAAGAAACAATTTGTTGCACATTTCAATATGGATTATTAGGCCGATATATATTTTTGTATAGGTATGAGTGGATAAAAATTAAAGCGGGGTGAAAATGTTACGTTGAGGTTTGAGAGGTGGTGAAGCAGCTCGACCGTCTATGATCTATGATCAGGTCTTCATATTTTGGCTGATTTCGTCAGCAAAGAGAGCCAATATAAAGGCCATAAACACGGGGAAATACATATACACGGAATATTGTAAAATGCCTAAACACGTCTTACTTACAAAACCAGCAAGGATAGTAAGAGGATATGAGACGATCAAAGTGCCCTGAAAAGTCTACATTTCACTACTGCAAGCACACTTCAACGAATGATTTTACCTTAAATAAGTGTTTGCACACTTAAAACGTCTGACATTCATATTTTATACAAATTATATCAGGCAATGATACGTTTCTGGTTCCTAAATGTTTAAACGTGTACATTGGATAAATGACTTCTTATTTTCTTAAAAAATCTATCGACTATTCTATATCATTACAGTAATGAACTGTTTTTCTACTGCGAAACGATATTCTACGCTATTTAAAAGACTTTGCAGTTTGAAAATAATATATCATGGTTGCAAGTCAAATGTATCTCATTATTACAAACTATTTGCAGATTCGTTAGAATAAAAACAGTTCTGGCCTAAATTTAATTTATATTAATTGAGCATTTTATGCTCTGATGAAAATTTTCTTCCAAAAAACTTCCTAAAACGAAATTCTTATATTGTGATGGTGATAAAAGATTGTAAGACTATAAAATTTAGAAATTTCGCCAAGCTTTCGATATATATAATGTGATCCTTATATGTTCCTTCATCATCGTCATTGTAATGCTGTGGTTCATTCTTTATATTTGTGCTAGATTCATCAATATCTATGATAATTTTACATGAATAAAAATACTTACTGGTGGTTATCCCCATCTAGTAATAAATATCCGATTCCATGAGCCACAGCTCCGGCCAATTTTGCGAAAGGTCTTCCAAAGGTGCGTCCTTCTTCGTCGATTTGCTCTTCCGACCCCTCTTGCCCTGCCACGTATACGATTACAACGCACAAGACCTAAAAATTGAAAAATTCAAATCTGTCCAATTTATCAATTCAAGGCCGGTAAAAATCGCCTGTCTGTTAGAATGTTCATTGTTCAATCGATAATGAATAGCCGCGTTCAAGAAATCCTAGGCGTCTATGTATGAATTGAGAAGAAACGGGTCAGCGTAGGTGTTTAACGTCCATTGTTAGAAGACAGTCCGACGACGCAGTAATAAAATTCTTATCTCTGTCACCATCTCAAAACTAACTATCAATGATTGGTAATTTTTTACATTTTCAAAAGCCGCTTAATTACAATCGAAAATATTTGCGGATATAATTCATAATGCAGGATGTCAGAACTTAAATGGAAAACTTACCAAGGATTTTAGTAGGAGGCTCATTGTTGCACTTTGCCGTTTGACGATTGCGGACAGTACTTCACCTTTATATACGTATTGCCTTGTTAGGAAATTTTTGTTTACCGCCCAAAAAGAATTTCCCCCTTTTGGAAAGTCCGATGCCTCAAGCCCGTGAAGAAATTAGTAAAAAGCCAATTGCACAAGATCGATATCAACCCTCAAACAATCGAGTTAGAAAATTCTTTAAAACGTGCGCATTACTAAATTTCAAATTTTAATAACGTTTACGTTAATTGAAACGACACATTAGTAACTCAAAAATACATAATTTGTTTTCATTATAATAAAATATTTCAATCAGTACAACATTTGATATACGCCTTGAAAGAAAAACTGTTTTATCAGTTATAATTATATAATAACGCTCGGGGGGCATCGGTGGCCTCAACGGTTTAGGCGTTGACACGGCGCTCATCACTGTAAGGTAAAGGTCCCGGGTTCGAATGCAGGGCCGCTGGAACCCGACATACTTACAAATGGGCGTTTTTTCAAAAACCCCGGCACCCCCAGGGTTGACTTAACCTCTGCTGTTGCGAACCCTCGTAAAAAAATAAAAATAAAATAATAACTCTCGGCTAGATGACTAATACATATTTTTCGACCTAGTATCACCCAAAAAATTCGCATTGAAATCAGTTATCCCACGTTCGTGGCCGCTCTTTTTGAGTTGAAAGATTAACTGTTCATGTTTTGGCTGAACAGGACTGAAGCTAAAACATGCAAAGCGAAAGTTTTAACTTGCACATTGTTGATAATGTACCGATGGATGTGCGTGGATTTAACAAACCTAGAGCAGAAGAAATACCTCACGTTTTTCATTTTTCAGAAGGAGAACCGCGTGGTCATCGGCACATCGTTGTGCACTATCGTCAAAACGGTCCAAAGGTAAATTCTGTTTTAAGCCCCCCAAATTGATCTATCTGAGTGAGCCAGGATGGAACTCCAAAAGTTCCCATAACGGCATGAGAAAGCAAAATCATCGTGAACTGATAACAACGTTACAGTTTGCAAGCTATCGACCTTATTCACAAACCTTTTCCTCATGTTCATAAATCATGTCGTTCCATAATTCGAAGTATACAATGGGGAAATTGCCCCAACAGACCACTAGTTTAGAAATATTTTCAAAATATTGAAATATTTGAGAGAGTCTCCAAGTGATCTGTGGGATGAGGAACCTGTAATTTGTTTATTACCGATCATTTTGGTCCTCGCTGTTCTGGTTCATCTGAAGTCTTTCGGGATTTCACCACCCTCAGAAGTGGGTATAAATCAGACAGAACATAGTCTCATCTTTTTTTTAAATTGAATCTTTCTCACAGTTAGTTGTTTTCAACGTTCAAGATTTTAAGCTTAAAGCTCATCATCAGTTTGGAGGATATACATCCACCTCGATCGACACGAATTGTAAGAATAATAGAATCTTACAATTCATGTCGAGAGATGTGGTTGAAAATCCTTCAACCTGATGATGAGTATTAACCTTGAAATCGGGATCATTGAAAACAGCAAACTGTGATTAAGATCCAACTTTTAAAAAAGATTAAACAACACACTCACCCCACCATTACCATTTCTATTGAACAAAGTCTCTACTGAATATGATGAAATGCTGAAACGTGACAGACCAAATCATTAAGGATGGGCGAACCAAAATGATCTATAACATCAAAATTACATTCATCATACCGCCGACCACATGGAGAAATCTCATTATTATATTAGTTATTACGCATTATTTGGTTCTTTCAGCCCCTCACGAGAATTATTTATTGAGACTGTGCAATGTTATACATATAATTATTCAGAAATCGTGAGATGCGGTCTGGTGTGATGTAGTTTTCAGAAAAACATTTTCTTTATCGTGCCAACGTTTCGATCTTTATTGAGATCATCTTCAGAGCCTGGGATTTACAAGCATTGTTTAAATTTAACAAATACATGTAGGATGTGGAAAAAAAGTGAATTTATACAATGCAAAAATGTATTTGTTAAATGTAAACAATGTTTGTAAATCTCAGGTCCACCACACGTTATACATATAATATGGCAAAACGTTTTGATAATTAGATAATGTAATATATTTATTTTCTTTAAATATTTTGATGAGTAATATGCACATATATAGTTAGAGTAACTGACTGTTTACACCATGCACCCCTATTACAAATATTATACAAAATAATAATTTTAAAAACTGATACATGATGATTCACAAATAATGTGTCAAACTTCAGGATGTTTATTACATTCAAACTGCAACATAAAAAGTGCTCTTGGGCTGTGCCTGAATATCAGTAATAAACGTGATAATTCTGGTTTTGTGTTTTTTTTAGTCACTCGAGTTTTTCCATAAAAACTGGCATATCTCCTGAACCCATGGTCTACAACAAACTGGAACACCTAAAATCTGATTGCAATATCATCAAGAAATTATACTCAGTCAAATTCTTGTTCCATTTATTTATAACAGAAATCAATATATTTAGAAGTTTGGGCAAAATTTTGAAATATTTCAGTTTCATTGCACAAATTTCAAAGTGGGCTGAGGAATGTTAAACAAACTAGCTATCTATAGGCATTTTCTCACAATTAATTATTTATTTCGCTTTAAAATCTGGATACATTTAACTATTGTCAAATTTTTTTAATGGAAATTTAATCAGTTTTATAGATGCGTGGCCAAATCGGGCCAAGAGGGCGGAACAAAATCCCATTTTATGGAAAACTCGTGTTTTACATTTTTTTGTTATTATTAAATATCTTCAGAACGAATCGATGAATCTTTGTGGATTAATTTCTTTCAAAAATTTTGAAAATCTTGTACATCCTAAAATAATGATACCAGAAACTCAAAAACTGATGGATTTGTTCAAATATTAGTTTTCCTTCATGACTCGCTAATTTTTATTTATCGTGTACGGTTGTTCCTTAAAGTTAGATTTTTTAAACATCACAAATTAAATTATTTCATTTGGAACAAAGTTACTGATACTTAGTTTAATAATATAATGATATATGTAGATGGAGTAAAAATAGAAAGCCATGTCTTTCCTAAAAACTCGCAGGGTACATATGAGGAGAGAGAGAGAGAGGGAGAGAGAGAGAGACATAGAAAACGAGACTGGCATTTAGTTTGTTTAAACATCATAAAATGTAATATATTTTAATATATAAATGAACTAAATTTTTTAGTTCATTTATTTAATATATAAATGAACTAAATTGAATTATGCTGTACTATGCATACAAAATATGTCCTTGTTATTATATTCCTAATTAAAATCTCTGTTGAGTAGTAGACGCTGTATTATAATCTATTATTTTAATGTATAATTAAAGGCTTTTATTGTATATTATATATTGATTATATTATATATATATACATACATATCGTAAGTTTTATATATTAGGATGTTGTGGCTACTTTACGAGAGAAAATTATTTCTTATCACAATCCAAGAATGTGCCTGAATAAGCATTAGGATGTTTTCCAGCATTTGTTGAAACATTTAAATCGAATTATCAGCATATTAGAAATAATATTATTTCTACGGTGTGATAATACATATAGATAAAAAATTATATTTTCTTTTATTGCTTAACATTATTAGTGAATTTTAATTTGATGAATATTTATGTTCGTATAAATGCAATGTTGAAAGTTCGATAAAACTGTTTCAAGCTGTTTTATCAATGTTTTGTTTGATATGACTACCCCCAGTTGTCAGCAATTCCTTTCTAGAAATGCCAGATTATCTCGGGGAGAATTCAGTTCGACTAGTTTCGCCGCGTGATGACGATCACCATGAAGTTGTTGTTGTTTTTATCTACCATTGCGATTTGTTACAATGCTGCTGAAAGTTTGAGGTATAAAAAGATCAGATCGGATGTTGTTTCTGGTCCAAATTATGGCGACCCAGTCTTTGTGACTAAGTACATCAACAAAGGAGATATTGCAGGAGGACAGATGGCGTCACAAGTAAAACCGATTAAAGCTAAAGTCGAAAGCTACGCTGGCTTTTTTACTGTCGATCCGAAGTACAATTCGAGTATGTTTTTCTGGTTTTTTCCTGCGGAACATAACTCGAAAAACGCTCCCGTCATCGTCTGGCTGCAGGGAGGGCCTGGTGCTTCTTCTCTTTTCGGTCTGTTCGACGAACACGGCCCGTTCTACGTTCGTCCCGAGAGAGGACTACGGTCGAGAAAATACTACTGGTCTCAGGTCTTGAACGTCATTTACATCGACAATCCCGTCGGGACGGGTTTCAGCTTTACAGACGACGATGCCGGGTACGCCAGGAACGAAGTCGACGTGGGAAAGAATCTTTACGAGGCTGTAAGACAATTTTTTCAATTGTTTCCAGATTACAAGAACAACGACTTTTTCGTCACCGGGGAGTCGTACGCGGGCAAATACGTTCCTGCACTCGCTTATACCATTCATACCAACAATCCAACGGCAAAGGAAAAAATCAACTTGAAAGGCATTGCCATAGGAAACGGTCTTTGCGATCCTGAAAATATGATGGATTACGGTGATTACCTGTTCCAATTGAGTTTACTCGACTCGAATGAGCGGGACCAGTTCATCAATTTACAAAACAACATCGTCAGCTTGATCAAGCAACAAAAGTACGACGCTGCTTTTGAAGCCTTCGACGCGTTATTAAACGGAGACTTGACACCTTACAAAAGTTTGTTTTATAATTCGACCGGTTACGAATTCTATTTTAACTTCTTACACAACAAAGACTACACTCCATACGGCGATTTTGGAGAATACCTTCAAAAAGACGTAGTGAGGAGATCCATTCACGTCGGGGCTCTACCATTCCACGATGGAAAGAAGGTGGGAACGTTCTTAAAATCCGACGTCATGCAATCGATCAAACCGTGGTTTGAAGTTCTAGTTGAGAAATACAAGGTTCTCATCTACAACGGCCAACTAGACATCATCGTCCCCTATCCTCTGACTTCCAATTTTCTTAACAACGTGAAATGGTCGGGTGCGGATGAATTTAAGCAGGCGAAGAGGAAACTGTGGAAGGTCAACGGAGAACTGGCAGGGTACAGCAAAACTGCCAAAGGACTCACTCAAGTCCTCGTGCGCGACGCCGGCCACATGGTCCCCATGGACCAGCCTTTGTGGGCCCTTGATTTGATTTCCAGGTTCACTTATAATAAAACCTTTTAAAAAAAAATATATTTAATTCTCTGAAAAAGTAATATTAAAATGTAGAAGTGGAAATATTTTTCCCTTCCTTATCTATGTAACAGTCATTATTTTCGCCATAAACGTTTTTATAAAATTGTGATACAAGTTGTATATTCCGAGCAGTCGGATTATTTGTCAAACGCCATAAAATAATATTAAACTGTCATTTTAAGTACCAACTTTAACACTTGTGTTATTTGTTGTTTTCATTGATTCCATAAGTGTTGAAATGAGCACCGTGAGCTAAAAGCAACGAAAATTATTTATCGTTATCAATATTATTACATGAGGAACAGGATCCCCTCACACTCTGAAACGTCGAGGTTTGATAACAATCGTATCTTTCGGGAAGATAACACGGTTTAATTTTACAGTTTTATATATTATTTACATTAATTAAAACGCATTTGGTAGTTATGTTTAAATAAAAATACATTTCTTTGGATTTCTTTCCTCAACTCCAGTTAATTTTTAATGCATGGTGTTTACTGACCGTTAATTAATAATTATTTGGAAATCGCGAGATGCGGTATGGTGTGTCGTAGGTTTAGAATAACGTTTTCTTTATCATGCAACGTTTCGATCTTTATTGAAATCATATTCAGAGCCTGGGATTTGTAAGCATTGTTTAAATTGTGCAAATAGATGGAAGATGTGAAAAAATGAATTTCTATCACTGTATAAATTCATTTTTTTCACATTTTACATGTATTTGTATAATTTAAACAATGTTTATAAATCCCAGGCCCTGAAGATGGTCTAAATAAAAAATTGAAACGTTGGCACGATAAAGAAAATGTTTTTTCTAAACCTACGTCACACCAGACCGCATCTCGCGATCTCCAAATCATTAATTTTTAATCAAGTACAATAGATATATAAGTAGTTAGTATGTTTTGTTTGTTACAATACGTTTGTTATTGTGACATTATGCACTATACACACAACAAATTATCATGTCTTGGTATGTTTCAAGTTAGCACCCTTTATATAAAATAAATAAATAAAATAAAATATAAATAAAATAAAACCTCATATCATAAATATGAAATAAGGCAACACTTATATTTTTTTTATCATTTTAATTATTATTAATATTACAATATTACAATATTCACAATACAATATTACATTGTGCTATTTATATAATTCGTACAACAAATCTGGATATTGTAATAATTGTATACATATTTATGTATGAATGAGTTTCGACATGAAGAATGATCAGTCGACAATATAATTATGTATCAAAAACAATCAGGGATAGGACAAATTAGAAAGGAAAAACTTCGTCGACTTTTCAAAGAAAATAACCCCCTCATCACCTCATCAAGAACTATGCAACTATTATCAGTAATTTACAAAAACAAACATGAATATCTATGCACAATTTTAAAACCCGTGTTTTCATTTAAAATTTAATTAAAAATTGGAATCATATAGTGCTAGATCCACCTAAAACAATATGTTCCATACCAAAAATATAAGGCAGGTTATAGGGTTTTCTCGATTGTTTACATCTTGAGGATCTTCAATTTTTTGTGCGCGAAATTAGTATCTTGAGATGCGACAAACAAATGATTATGTTGTTTAACAAAATTAATAGTGAAAAATCATANGTAATAGCAAAACTTCGAATGGTGTGAAGCCTGGAAAAGATAAGTCGCCCAATGACGACCTAGTACTTACATAGCTGTTGGTCACTTACTTTTTAAAAGGCGGGTTGACCCGGCGGGATTTGTTGGTAGCATATTGTTGGACAAGTGGGTTAGTGCGTATACCTATGGAGTTATAGAATTTCATGAAACGGGAAACACGCGAGGGTTAAGGTACCAGATCGTGTCTGTGTTGAGGGGGTTGGGTGCATAACCATCTGAACTACGGGGTAGCAGAAAATGTTCCAAGTCCAAACCCTGCTACATGGAATGGCATAGTGGCTTAGTGGCGATGCTCCTGGCGAGAACTTAGTGTGAACATGTTGCTCGGGGGTGCCATTATTGGTTTCCTTCCGAGGGCAGTGTTCCTCTAGGGAGAGGTTAGACATTCCATTTTAAACAAAACCGCGGCCGGAGCGGATCCGGTAGGTCTTGCGCTGGAGGAGCCCCAATACTCTGGGAGAGAGTCGCCTTCTCTATCAAGGGAGCTCGGCGGGACGACCCAGGCTGATGTATTTCAGTCACTTGGGGTTACCCTTTCCGAATGGCACACGGTCTGGTGCTTAATACAGGCCCATCCACTCGAAATGGACAAGCGGAGAGTGAGGACCGTCTCCGAGGGGGAGCTTCAACAACTTGCGGCTGTAACACCCATCCAGTCGCGAGCGGAGGTGCTAAAAACGTCCGGTAGGGCCAAAGGGCTAGGTATGGACGTTAAAGATCCTCTCGTCCTTTTAAGGGCTAATGAGTAAAAAGGGAAACGGGAAAGGATGAGTTTTTTGACGAAGGAATTTGGGTATGCTTCGATATGTAGTAAGGAGCATTGATTTTACGGAGAATTTTCGACTGCAGTGACTGAATGTTTTTAGAATTGGAGTGTTTGGTTGAGCCCCACAGTTAGGAAAAGGTCCAAGGGTTCTAAAGAATGAAGTAAGACATTGTTGGGTGTTGTACTATTGGGAGGACAATACACAGCTACCAATGTAAGATTAAAGGGGATGAAATGACAGTTGACATTAGAAATTCGGTTTAGTTTATAGGAATATACTATAGAATATACTATAGAATTTGTATTGAGGACGGCAGTTCCACCGTGCGAAATGTTGTCAGGATGATCCGTCCTGTAAGTTGTGTAGTCTCTGATTTGGAAATTGGCTTTACTAGTAAAGTGGTTTCTGTAATTTAGGCTATCTCTGGTCGGTAGGGTAATCGTAGGTCAAGTTCATTTTTGTAAAAGCTGAAACCATTTACATTTCATTGGAGGATAAGAAGTTTCCCTCCTTTTTGCAGCAAAATGAAGTATATCTTCACTAAAGCTCTCCGTGGCCATTTCGCCACGATAATCGAATAGATTACACGACATTTGAAAAATGCCAACAAAATCGGAAAATTCAAATGGTGGGTTGAGAGGGGAAGTTGTCCGAGTGGACTGAAGTCAAGATAGCTCAAGGGGTAGAGCAGCGGCGTATTTAGCCGAAGGGCGTGAGTTCGAATCCCGCTCGTGACACTGACTTTTTTATCTCAACCAATACCTTAAATACAGATTAATTAATTGAACGATGTTATTTGGTCAAGCGGACCACTAAACCTAATGGATCTAAAATACAAATGAACTTAAGGTAAATTTTATCTTTAATACTAAGAATGCACACAAGGAGAAATAATCGCATCTGGAATTTTTTCCTTTGAGAGGGAGAATGACATCATCACGTTTGATGAAGTATTATACAATTAAAATTGGAATGATTACATTTACAGCTCGGAGCGTTATTGCTCGTAACTTTTAAATACTAAGTGCCTTTTGTGGCGACTTTGAAATAATTAAGTTTCATGGAGACACAAAGGAAAGTCACAATTAAATACCAAATTTTAATAAATAATTTTATATACAACTTTTAAAAAGAATTGAAAACAGGCTTAATTAATGAGGACTTGAATCTTCATCATCAGCTCCCTTCAAGTCTTCAACTGTAACTTCGTCGTCCGTTTCCGGCTTTATGGGTAAAATAGGATTATGTTTTATGTTTACTTTGCCTATTGGGGAGATGTTCATCAATCCGCCAGAAGGTGTTCTGTAAGGCCCTTCGACCCCTCCAAGGGCGGTCTCTTGAGTCAAAAGCATGTACGGCCCTTCAGCGCCAGGTACTTGAATCATGTAAGCGTCGAAAGATGGCTTAGAACCGGAGCTTCCGGGCCTATTGCCTAAAAAATTTAAAAATTTAAGGACAAACACCCTCTATTCCGTATAGATGTAACATGTTTTTTTTTATCAGTAATGAAATAAAGAAATCAAGAAAATAAATTTAAAAAACAATAAATTAATCACTTGCATAATATCGGCCTGGTTGCAAATTTTGTCCGCCGTGCAAAGATAGAAGATAAAGCGTTCGAAATTTCATAATGTATGCCAAGTTGACATTAGGATGCAACGTGTCACACCAAACGGGGCTGTGCCCCTGAGCGTTTGTGAACGGGTCGTAGTCGTGTGGGTCAGGGTACGTATCGTGATTGAACATTACCTGTGAGCACTCCGACCAAACCGTTGGCCAAGTTTGTCAAAATCGGTCCAACGACGGCACCGACTATCGGGGCGATCGCCGAGCCCAAAACGCCAATAACCGCCGCTTGCCTTTCTTCCTGGACTGGTACAACGCCGAGCATCTTCACCGAGCTTGTTTCCTCCATCTTCACTCTTAACTCCCTGATCTTTCCCAAAGGTCCGGCCAAAGATAGATCCACAAAGCATAGCAAAAAAGCGATTTTCTTTAACATCTTGAAAAACTAATTAGCCATAAAATCGCTGGAGTTACGGTAGCAGCAGTACTCACAACGATTCTCAGGAACTGCGTGAATCAGCGTACCTTTAAATACTAAAATGAAGTGTTAGAAAGGACAGAGAAAAAGTACTAATAGCTCAATTACCAGAACTTTCTTTATAAAACCAATAAATCATTTATTAAATCTCTCTAAATGACTTGTTGCCAACATTGCAAACAAAAGAGGCCATCATAAATCCGCCTATAGATTTGTGTACACGATTCTTTTTTCCACTATTTCTAAACGTACAACCTATGTACAACCGTATTATCATAATTTATTTATCACGTCAAAAAAAAGGTTAATAGCTCAACAAGGAACTCCGAAAAATCCATGTGGACTTTACGCGATTTTGCCAGCAAGACCAACCATCGAACAATGGTTTTAGAAGAGCATAATAAGAAAACATAAGACCTCTACCGTGCCCTCAAAAAGAAAACAATCGAGGAAACCTTAAAACCTACTTTATATGATTATTATGGAATGTACAAGTAAAGTTGGGGACCGCGGTAGCCGAGTGGTTAGCGTGAGAGACTCTTGGCTCATAGACGCCGCGGTTGAGGGTTCGATTCCCATATTGTGGATTAAATTTTCATCAGAATCACGTGTTTTAAAATTGTGAATAGATGTTCATATTTGTTAGCCCTGTAAATTACTAATAACAGTTTCATAGTTCTTAATGAGGTGGATATTTTCTTCGAACGATCGACGAAGTGTTTCCTTTCTAATTAATCCCATCCCTGATTTTTTTTTTTTTGTATAGTTATACTGTTGATTGAAAATAATTCATTCATAAGTCTGTATAAAATCGGAAAAAAATAGGGAAGGCATATGCCCTACATCCCCTACATGTAGGATGTGGAAAAAAGTGAATTTATACAATGCAAAATTTTTTTTTTTTTA